CAAGTCTTTGTGAAAAGCAATTTAGCACTCAAGAGTAATATTTATTTTAATATTATAGGCAATTAAACTTCATTGATAAGTTTTAAAACGTTCGATGTAATTTTAATGGAGTTATAAGCTGCTGAACAGCTTTCATCATATCCCGTCTTTCGTTCATTTTATGAAGAGGAGGCGATCAAGTTCTGCATAAAACACGCCTTATCCAGTGAACTTTTTACAAGCGTTACAATGTACAGAAGTTGGTTGAAATCTGAAAACTTGAATAATTTAACTTATTTGACTTGTTCGCATTCCTCGGCACTCGATCCACCGTTCCGCTCTTCGCTAAATCATCGACGGTGTCTTTGAATGTTGTTCAATTTGCAAACAATGCTTGCCTGCGGGCCGAAAGTGGCACGTCGAAGATGAGATGAGATTATCGCAGCCCCCGGGGCACGGGCCTGGAGTAAATCAACGCATTCAGCATACAGATCACTGCTGCTTAAAACGACTGAGTTATATTTGCCGTCGGAGTAATGACCCTTCATTCAACACTCTCGCATCTCCGCTGTCTTATTTATTGAAGCTCGGGGACTCAAAAGAACTAACTTCATTTAACCTAGCGTTCTAAATACTAACCGTTACAAAGATCTTATTAGCTTGATCCTACATTACTGATCATATGTGATATCAGTTTGTTCCTACCGTGTTAGCAGTTTGTTTTATCGTTAACCGTACACCATTGTATACCTCATATTAGACAATTCGTTAATATACAACCTGGGCAGTTTGTTTCGATATGGTCATGGCTTTAACAATCCTTACGAAAACTGTAATTTGACCTTTACGAAAGGTTAAATGAATGAAAGGACCATTTACAGATGGATTTCGAAATAACGTCTGAGATTTTGGCCTCAGCACTAAAGATTATCGAGAACCAAAAACGATGCTGGATAATAACCACCTAAAGACATATGGTTAAGAACTGCCCACTCGAGAATAAGGGGAGTGCCATGACAATTCCTAGGTGATTGAAAGCGCTAGAAAAATTCTAAAATGGGCTCCGCGTTAACTCTATGACGAACTACGTAATCCTACAAAAAATAACCTATAATCCAAATCATCTAACGTTTTCTCGATTCTGATTGAACATATATTGACAAGCCGAGGTTTACTACACGCCAAAGAAATAGTAGCTTCAATGGATTCATTTCTGACTCACCTCACTCACTCAGTGACTCACTCGGTAACTTAATCATTCACTCACCACCTAGACCAATCAATCTGCAATTGTAATCAATCTGTAATTCGTCTATTAATAATCCATTCATTTGTTTTTTTACAAGAAGGGATAATGAATTTCTAAATCAATAAACTATCTATTGATAGCCAATTAATTTTTCTCTCACTCTCTCTCTCTCTCTCTCTCTTTTCTCTCATTCACTACTTGATTCACTCATTCATTCGGTCAGTATAATACGCACCACCTAACTGAGTCAATTAATTTGTAGCGTACCACCTACCTCATTTGTAGCTAATTCACTTAAAAGCTTGAATAGTCAGTTTGTAATTAAATCATTCATTCGATCATAATCCATTCGTTCCCTCATTTATAAACTCATTTTTCTCACGTTATAATAGAAAGCATCGAGGGTGAATATCGATCGACCAGTGCATTACAGCTTATGGGTCATCCTGCTGAAACGATTGATATTAGAAACCTTTCATAAATAAGATGAAAATTCAATTAATGTAAATACCGACGGAGCAAACAAGAGTATGGAAACGTGGAATGTTCATTTGTCGTCTACCACAGAAACGAAAAAATTCACTCGGGAAAGTCAAATAACCAAGCTGAAGAACTTCTAGGGCTTTGATATAGATTAACGCTGGTCAGAAGCAAGCAGGAGTTCCTAAAAAAGTTATTATTCATATGGACAGCATGGTGGCAATCAGATCAATAAGGAATCCGAAGAACCATGGACAGTGATGCGAAGATATCAGGGTTCAAGCCAAGCAACTGACTGAAGCTGGAAAACAATTGGCTTTGCTTTGGGTGAAAGGCAATGAAGAGCAGTCCGACTGGCCAAAGAAACTGCTGATGACATTCGACTACCAATAGAGTATAATAAATACCCTTCAGCCCTGTTTAAAAAAAACTGCCTTTTAAAAAATACCCTTACAAAATGGGATCTTGCATGGAGAAAGACAACCAAAGGGAAAGAGACGAGAACTTTTTTCTCAAGGTAGAAGACAGGATCGAATTGGTTCTCAATATAACTGACATGGCTCTCACTGTACATGGGTCAGAAGCAAGCTAGTTCCTAAAAGTTATTATTAATACAGACAGCATGATGACAATCGGATCAGTAAGGAATCCGAAGAACCATGGACAGTGATGCGAAGATATCAGTGTTCAAGCCAAGCAACTGACTGAAGCTGGAAAATTGGCTTTGGATGAAGAGGAAGAAGAAGAAAAGTAACTTTATTCTGGGACTGGTGTCCCCTAAGAATAATATACATGACATAAATAAAGGAAGTTCCTTCTATGAAATTAAAAATAAAATGACATAGAAATCTTGGCACAATATACACCAGTAAGGCAGGCCAGAAGAGAAAATTACAAGAATATTAAACAAAATATCAAATGTTAACGTAAAGTCTCTGCTTGGAGGGAGAGGAGGTGATTATACAGGTGACGAATAGAAAGGGGAAGGGAGTTCCAGAGTTTAGGGGCTCGTAGCAGAAAGGACCTTTCGAAGGTATGGGATGAATGTTGCGGAAGGATAAGGTCGATGGGGGATGAGCGGGTGTTACGAGTATGATGTGAGGAGTTGAATTGGAGGGATAGGGTGATGTAAGGTGGACGCCGAGTGTGGATGGACTGGGAAAGAAAGCAACCTAGGAAATACTGTGCACGGAAGGAGGGGAATAGTCTGGAAAGTTGGGAATACAACCCTGACACCCGGGATCCCCGTGGGGTGCCGAACTCAAATCTTAACAATTCATAATACGCTTCAATCGCGTCCCCCCCCTCCGAAAGACCACCGAATGCTACACAGCTATAATCGAAGAAGGAGAAGAAGGATGAAAGCACATGTCGGAATCCAAGGCAATGAAGAGCGGTCCGTCTGGCCTAAGAAACTGCTGATGACCAATAGAGTATAATAAATACCCTTCATCCCTGTTAAAAAAAATACCTTTTCGAAAATACCCTTACAAAATGTGATCTTGCATAGAGAAAGGAGAAGAGACGAGAATTTTTTTAAAAAGGTAGAAGACATGACCATTGTTTATGGTTATTGACTCTCAATATAACGGCAAAGCTGACGGATTCTCTCACTGGACATGGGCCCAGCTTAAAATATTTGCAAAGAATTAGAGTGACAACATTGCGTTTGCTGCAATCAGGTTTAGGACGTGAGTCATCTCTTGTTCCACTGCCCTGTACTGAATGCAAAGGGAGCAAATCTGTATATTGCTCGAAATGAACAATATATGGTCATAATTAATTTTAAATTTAATTTTATAAATAAGGTATGTAATGTAAATATATCTATATTACATGTAATACAATAGTGGTTCATATAGAAAATAAATGAATGAATAATTCATTCACTCATTTATTCGATCTATCATTTTCAATCTAAATTCGCCCATTGTAAGCTACCTCACTCACTCGATTACTCATCCGCTCACTCAATCATTCATCTTATCAGTAACACATATGTTCACTCACTAACTTAATAATTCACTTAAAACTAGATTTGCTTATTCACCCACTCTTTCAATCAACCGATTTCTAATTCAATCTTTCATTATATGAGTAATATACTCATATGCCCGATAACCACCTTTCCGTTTCGTTAAGTCACTAATCATTGACGTAGTCAATAACCCTCTTTTTCACCGGTTCACTTATTCGTCACTTCACTCCATCATTATAATGGATGCTGTAGTTTGTTTTCTAAAAAAAATCAATCCGATTTTCCTCCTTTTACGTACGATAAATTATGCCGATACTTTGGGATCTGATTTTTGACCGATACGTTTCACCAAGCGTTTAATCTGTTTACTTATTGTTTTTAGCCTGCAAATTAACAATCAACATTTTTTTTTTGATAAATCGGAAATATTGTCCAATAATTTCAATAATAAATTATAATTAATTAATAGTTATTCAGATATCGTGAGGTGCGGTCGGGTGTGATGTAGGTTTCATAAAAACATTTTCTTTATCGTGCCAACGTTTCGATCTTTATTGAGAACATCTTCAGGGCCTGGGATTTACAAACAATGTTTACATTTAACAATTACATTTAGGATGTGGAAAAGTGAATTTATACAATGCAAAATATATTTTATATTTAAGCAAAGTATTTCTTTTTTTCTCACGATATCTGAATAACTATCGATTAACGGTCACTAATCTCTATACATAATTAATTAACATTTTTATGTAAGGTTTTGGTTGAAATGAAAAAGTTAGTGTCACTAGCGGGATTCGAACCCTTCCCGAACCCCGAAACCTTCGGCTCAATACGCCGCTGCTCTAACCACTTAAGCTATCATGACATGTGGTTAGAGCAGCGGCATGTTGAGCCGAAGGTCGTGGGTTCGAATCCCGCTAATGACACTAACTTTTTCATTTCAACCAAAACCTTACATAAAAATGTTAATTAATTGAAAGAAGTAATTTGGTCAATCAGATCACTAAATGTAATGGATTTAATAAATTATAATATTGACCGTTATTATGTACTGTTATAGAAAAAGCCCTTGGTGCAGGTTAATAAATCAAACCCAAGATGGACTGTTAGCATCAGTTTAATTTAAACTTCATCTTGAAACTTGTTTCTTAATCCTTTATTTATAGAACTGTTGACATCAGCTCGGTCCAAATTGATCACCTCACATCCTCGCTTCTCTGCCTGTCACAGGCGCTTAAACATAACGCCACAATTCAAAACTAGTGTAGATTTCACTAATTGTTCTATCGTTTTTTGTTTTTTGTTTTTCAGGATATGTACGAGAAGATGATACAAATCGACTCGAACGCGCCGACAGAAGAAGAACACCGGCTGAAAGGAGTGACTAAGCCCAGGTACTAAAACGTGTCCTGACTACCGTTCTTACTAATCCTCATAACACTGATTTATTTTATACAGAACAGTTGAAAGGGGAAAAAATATATTTTGTAATTCAACAAGTAAAGCGACAAAGTAACGGTTCTTTTAAGGCGTGGCTAGCAAAAACTGTGGATGATAAGTCTTAAGTTGAGTCCATACCTATAAAAATTGTCGCTGAATACGACACACAGCGTAAATTTTTGTATCTGTGCGGGAATTTCTTTCAGTATGTGAGTGTAGACGTGACACAAGAATTTATTCTACATTCAAAGCACACTCTCCGGGACCTAGTCGGTTTTTTGACGAACATCAAAGGATTTGCATAAATTCCCTTGGTGAGGACGCTTTTGCCGCACGAATGATTGTCCGTCGGTCTACCTACATTCGGTATTTCAGCGAGAGTTGTGTAGTTAATTAACAAGCCATTAACAAGCCCAGAGTTGTCGTGTCCTTCGAAATGTGCAGATATAGCAAAAACTTAAGCATAAGCATAGATAGCAAAACAGATGAACAGATTACCCTTCCAAAACAACGCACAACTTGAGCGGCGGGAATATTTGTGTGAAAATATTTTTCAAATTTCACAGAAAATCTTAGTGGCGAAAGCATTAGGTGTAAATCTTTACAGATTGGATTCTGCTTTATGATAGGGCATACACGTGTAACTACCACCTTTAAGTCTAGACTTCATGAAACCGTGTTCGACGTCACGTGATTTTTCTTGACATTAACCAAAGTTTTTATGCATGTTTGTTGCATATTTGAAATTAAAATCCAAAATCATAGTTATTCAACTATTAAATTTTTTTATTTAGAAGAAGGCATGTATTTGAAGAACCTCGCATTTTTATTTTCTATTATTAACTTGAAATGTTTACCTAATAAAACCAGAGCATGTCAAACATCTGTTTGCCTTTCCACAATTCTTCAGTTTACTCTCTCTTTGCATTTATTAAAGTGGAAAGCGAAAATTTTCAAATAGAGATGTAAAGATTTTTAAATTATAGATGGAATTTTTTTAAAAGCGAATTTTGAAGATTTTAAATAAATGTTATTTACAGTCTTAATATCAAAACACATGAGTTTATTTGTGATGTTGATAAAATAACTGTTTCATTCTTGTTGAATTTATAGAATAACACACCGCGCGATAAAAAATTTCAAATATTCTATATGAAGTTGATAAAAAATGATTTTATATGAGGCAATGCGCGCTATAGTTTCGTGTACGCAATCCAGAAGAATGAAGTTTGTTGTAGACATGTAGGTGCCACATCTTTCTTTATTTATCTAATGTTGTTCTACTTTTGAGTTCAAATGGCAGGAATAGCACGGCATTCGATGTACTATAAAAAACTGTTTTATACCGCAACTAGATTGAGCCGTTACACAGTCCGAAGTAAACAGTTTGTGAGTATAGGGTGTGTTAAAGCACTGTCGAGGGTCCAGGACGGTAGTGCACTCGCATATGACTCTCTCGGTCCAAGGCGACGCCTCCGAAGGGAGTTCCACGTTTCGCCCGTAGTTCTTGAAGATAAGATAGTCAGCGTACCGCCGTTCCCTGAATCCGTGACTGAGGGAGATCTTCGATGGGAGAAAAAAGTCGGCGATACGGTGACCCACGACGAGGTGGTGTGCGAGATCGAAACGGACAAAACGGCCGTCCCTGTGCCCGCTCCTACTGCCGGCGTGATCGTCGAGATATACAAGGAGGACGGAGCGACCGTCAAAGCGGGGCAGCAACTGTTCAAACTGAAAGTCGGCCCTGGGGCGGGTCCGCCTCCTGCACCGAAGGCGAAGCCGGCAGAAGCGAAACCGGCCCCTGCAGAGAAACCGGCCCCTGCAGCGAAACCGGCCCCTGCAGCGAAACCGGCCCCTGCAGCGAAACCGGCCCCCGCTGCGAAACCGCCTCCGGCTGCCAAAGCGCAAAAAAGCCCGAAAGCAGAACCACCTGTCGCGCCTCCACAGCGTCCAGCCCCCCCGCCAAAGCCCGAAAAAGGCGCAGCACCGCCACCCCCGAAAGCAGCCGGACCTTCGACGCCCCCGGCCAAACCTGCAGACCAGCCGCATAAAATAAAAGGCACCCGGACCGAGGTCAGAGTGAAAATGAACAGGATCAGACAGAGAATAGCCCAAAGGCTTAAAGACGCCCAGAACACCAACGCCATGTTGACGACGTTCAACGAACTGGACATGACTTCCATAATGGCATTCCGAAAAGTTCACCAAGAAGCTTTCTCTAAGAAATTCGGCGTGAAATTAGGCTTTATGTCGGCCTTTGTCAAAGCAGCCGCTTACGCCCTGCAAGACCAGCCGGTGGTGAACGCCTTCATCGATGACGCTGATATAGTTTACAGGGATTATATCGACATATCCATTGCTGTGGCTACTCCCAAGGGGCTGGTAGTGCCTGTTATAAGGAATGTTGAGAATATGAGTTACGGCGACATCGAGCTGGCGATTTACTCCCTCGGAGAAAAGGCGAAGAGTGGCAAATTGTCCATCGAAGATATGGACGGCGGGACGTTCACCATCAGCAACGGTGGCGTTTTCGGCTCGCTTATGGGCACCCCGATCATAAATCCTCCACAGTCGGCGATTTTAGGAATGCATGCTACATTCGAGAGGCCGGTTGTTGTGAAAGGACAGGTGGTCATAAGACCGATGATGTATCTTGCGCTCACTTACGACCATCGTCTCATAGACGGACGCGAAGCGGTGCTCTTTCTCAAGAAAATCAAAGCGGGAGTCGAAGATCCAAGGATAATATTATCAGGAATTTGAGAGTTTGAAATTTTTCGTGGTCCGTTTACTGATAAAGAGCAGTATTTCTTTGCCAAAAGTGAAAATCAAATTAATAATACACATATATATCATTATTTTTTCTTATTTTAATTAAATGTACTAAAGTAATTGAAACTTATAAGCATTATTTTTACTTGTGATGACTAATGCATTTCTCAGGTGGCTGCCTTTTCTTCTCACGTTCCCAATAAAGCGGGTGTCCACCAGGGCAATATCCTAGGGTCGCTACTATACACAATATACACGCCCTACATTTCTGTTCTCCCTAATTATATTATATACTTTTTCGCTGACAATACACCCATTTTGTCATCTAATCCTGATCCTAGCTATCCATCCCTATTTTTGTAAGTTTTTACTGTTCAGTATTAATTGTGATGATTTTGCTGGATTATGAATTATGTTTAATCTTACATTGATTGAATTTGGAGAATCCATGGTTTTCTCATGGACAATTTTATGTTGCATGCTCCAAGATGGGTGATTTGTTGTTTGCATATATGACAAAGCACTGCATATCAAAGAGCATTGAAATGAATTTGACGCTGAATACAGCAGAAATTACCATTTAATAGAATGTAATCAAAAACAAAAATAATATTGCATTATTTTTGCATTATGCATTATGCACATTTGCATTATTTGCATCTAATATGATGACTAAATATAATCATTATATCAAATATTTAAAATAATGTGTTAAATAACACTTTTTATTATCCCCAGGGCAATGCCAGGTTATAAAGCTAGTAGAGAATAAAAATTAACAAAATTACGTTACTCTAGATAAAGCCACTCGTCCTACAGAACATTTCAGTGGAAAATCTATTCCAACCTCAAAAAACTAAAGTGGAATCCCCATGCTGAAAAAAAAGAGGAAAATAACCCCGAGGAATATTGAATACACTGGGGTAGTGAGAATGCTAACCAGACAAGCTTGTTTTTGCATTTAGGGAAAAGAAATTAGAAGTGACACATATACACAGAAAACACACACTTTGAGCTCTGAAGATGATTTAAATAAAGATTGAAACATTGGCACGATAAAGAAAATGTTTTTCTAAACCTACATCACACAAGACCGCACTCAAGATCTCCAAATAATCATTAATTAACAGTCACTAAATACTACACAATAATAATAAATCAAGAAAATTACAACCTCCATTTGAGATTCAAAATTAATTTCAACTTTCACCATAAAGATGTCTAATATAATACATGTATTAAATTTAAATGAAGCTGAATCGTTTGCATACACTAACAATTTGACATTTAAACTGATCCTTTCTGCTTGCACCATTAAGGTGTTCACAATATAAATATAACTAATTTTAATGGTCCAGAGTTAATAAATCAGATTAATGTGACATTTAATTTCTGTTTTCAAGATAACCATGTCCGCCATATTATATTATATATTACGCAGGGTGGACAACCAAGACCCGAGGGGTTAAATGCCTGGGTAGACTCGTACCCCATCCCTAAAAGGTCCGGGACGTGGTCGGCTCACGTGTCCTGCATAAACCTCTTGAACTTGTTCACAAACCCCAAGATTTTGGACCATTTTATCTTTGTTGGCCATTTGGTTTGTCCTCTCCTTCAAAGATTTCAAATCTAGACCTAACATACCTATCACATTCTGCGAGATATTGCTTTGCCGTTTCTTCTTTTATTTTGCAGAAGCGGCAAAAGGGATCTGGTAGGATACCCATTACGAAGAGGTGTCTTCTCAGTGGGCAGTGGCCCGTCAGAATACCTATCAGCCTCCTAATTCCCTTCCTTGATATAGAGAATAGCCATTTCGATTCTGCTAGTTTGATCGCCTTAACAAACTCTTTCGATTGCCTGTGTCCAGGGGATAAATTCCACTCCCTAAGGAATTGTTTCATGCCCCAGTTATTGATACTCTCTTTCGCTGTGTTCATAGAGTGAGGTAATAGTGGTTGTGGCCCGACAAATGCACTATTAGAACGTTCTTTGGCTAGGCCATCCGCCTTTTCATTGCCATGGTGTCCTTTATGTGCTGGTATCCAAATAATGGTTACCTTGTTCTCAAACCTGAAAGAGATCCTATTGATAAGATCTATAGTTTCCTCCACCAGTCATGAGGTTGACAAATCTTTCTGTAAAGTCCTAAGACTAGCCTGACTGTCAGAAAAGATTTTAATATCTTTATGTCCGCCATATAGTTTATATAGTATTTTTTAATGATTTCTGAGTTCATAATTTAATCAAATATAATAACAATTTGGCATTAAGGATGAAATGATTTCAGCTTTCATCATTAAGTTGTCTACAATATTATTAGTTAATAAAAAAATTAATTAGAATCTCTTAACATAAATCTCATACTTACATAATGAAATTCACAATTCGCAAAACTATTTTTAAATAAATGAAAATTAAAAATTTACTAACTTGTTTATAGCTTTTATGGAATATTGATTATTAAAACAAAACAGTTTGATACTTTAAGCTGTTTAAGTTTATTTTCTTTAATTGATCCTGGCGTTGCGATTGAAGTAACAACAGTTTTCTCTATTTTCTATCCCTAAGTAAATCTTGAAATTATTAATTGGATGAAGCTCTCTTTGACATTTCGATACATTATGATTCCATATTTATTATGCAAAAAGGTTTTGTTTGTATGAGAAGGTTTATCGAAAATTAACCCCATTTTCACAGCATTAGGAGAATTTTCATAACGACTCATTTATAACTAGCTTCCTAAATTACTGAGACAAATTTAAAAAATAGTAATCTCTAGACAGCATTTCAGTGTTAGGAGTGAGCTTTAACAGATGTTTTATTGACTAAAGACATCCTATAATTTTATTACTTAATTATAGTTTTATTTAATACTTAATAACCACAAATGGCATATTTATATTCTAATAAATCATGGTTTACATTTAATATTTTCTGGTTGTATTTGACCTGTTATGTTATTTATATTAGGTCATTTTGTGTAGATTTAATAGAGAAAAAAAGAATTAGCGGATCATTGGAGTATGATTCTAGCTCTTTGCGGCCATGAAGGATGGGTATGGCTGAAATGCATTGACAATAAATAATAAACTAGTCTCAAGGCTTATCTTGGGGATTTTATGGCTTTAAACAGATTGACATTTTCATTGAGCATTCAAAAAAAATGTTGATTTAGAAGCGTAATTCTTATTGATTTGTTATATTATAAAGGTGCTATATGTGACTTCATTATGCTTCTTATAGGATTGTAATTAATTTAATAATGATTGTAATTAAATTTTTATTTTTGTACTTTTAGATATATGGTGTGGCGTGAGACAATTTCTTCTACGGCTACCCTTGGTTTCAGGATTGAGGGAATTAAGAAAAGTGATGGGAAATCAAGTAAGGATTTCAAAACAACACGAACCCAGTCACAAATCAAAGAAGCCTTTCGAGATTTCTGTGAGGGATTTCCCCATGCAATAGTAAGAGATTTATTCAGTTTGGGTTTTTTTCTATTTATTATAAATTGTCTTAATTTTAGCCCAAATATATTCAAAGACTTAAAGCAATTAAAGCTACATTAGAAGTTTCAACATTTTTCCAGACACATGAGGTGAGCTACTTACCTATAGTAAATAACTATTTACTTTATTTCCCCTTTTAAAATAAACTGCTCAAAAATGAATAGGGATATATGTAATTTATTCTTATTCTATTAATTTTAATTAAATTAACCAATATATTCTTGTTAGTTGGATAACACAAAATAGAAAGTACAAATCAAAAACAAACAAATGTTAATCCTCAATTTTAATAAGGAATTCATTTACGAATAGTAAACATGAATATTACTCATTTTGTAAACAAACACCATTTCTTGTCTTTTCTAAATTTTAGTTTTATTCTCTTTAACCATGAAAAGTCATCAACTTGAACCAGAAGCTCGCAATATTATTGTGAGAATGAGTCATCAACATCACAGCCAAGTGGATATCCCAGAGGCAATTGGCGTTTCTCAGTCCCGGACTTTAGCCAGATTCCGAGAGACTGGAAGTGTGTCTTTAGGAGGCCAGGTAGTGGATCTAAGCGCATTACGTGCACAGGGAGGACAGAAATATTGTCATTGCATCAAGACGGAACCCTTTCCATAGTGCCCACCAGATCCTAAGTTAAATGCAAGATGTTTTGGTATGGTCTCAATTTGGCTTCATAAAGTATGCCACTTTGAGACGATGTGCAGCAACAGCCCGCCACCAGCAGCTCAGGAGAATATGGTGCAGCGAGTGCCTAGAAGCGAACAACAATTGGAATGCTGTTATTTTTACTGAGAAGTCGCGTTTCTGTCTGTCTAGTGATGGCAGGCGCCGAAGAGTCTACCGAGAACAGGGATGCAATGCACTAGTTTGTGCTTCCTTTAGTGCAGTTCGGAGGAGACGGTGTAAAATTCAGGGCTGGGAATTACACTAGAGGACGAACTGGAGTCTATATTGTCAAAGTAACTTCACCGCAATCCACTATGTCCAAGAAATTATCGAGGAATACTTTACTCAAACCAAAGATCTCATTGGCAGGGATTTTCAATTTCTGGATGACAATGATGACCAGACCACATAGAGGAAGAGTTTTTCTTCAATGTACAGAAAATTTCCCATCTGCCCCTTTCCCAGTGTCTCCAAGCCTCAATCCTGTTGAGCACATGTGGGGCGTCATCAATCACAATCCGCAGCCAATTGACGTGTAACAACTGAGTGCAGCATTGCAACAACTGTAGAGTGAAATTCTTTTTGAAATTAGTTACAACCTTAGTTCACAGAGGTTTTGGCAAACAAAGGACATTATCGCGGTATTAATTGCTTTAAAAAATTATTGTATTAACAAAATTTGGAATGAAGAAATGATGTTTGCAGATCGATCTGCAGATAATCAATTTAGAGTTCAAATCTTCTTTAAGGTCTTTACTAGGTGAAAGAAAGACAAAAGTGTTGGGATCACCAAGCTTTCGGCAACATCAGGGCTTTCCCAAGAGAGAAGAGAAAAAAATTCTCATTGGAAAAAACTAATATAAAAGTGCTTTGGTTTAGGTTATGAAGCACGTGGCCAGCATTCAGTTATACGTGGTGAACAAGACATCTCACTAATGAATTCATATAATTACAAGTCCAACTGTTTTTGTTTTCTCAGTTGGACTTGTAATTATATGAGTTCATTAGATCCCAATACTTTCTTTCACCTAGTAAAGACCTTAAAGAAGATTTGAACTCTACATTGAAAATTTGGAATTAAAAACTTTTATTTTATTTTTCAAAATCCTTTAATTAAATTTTCCTTCAGTAAAAACCATAATTATTTCTAATAAATTTTAATACAGTTTATAATAAAAATTTATATAAAAAAAAATGTTAGGACAAGTAAATACTACAAAATTGACAATATCGCTATTCATTTTTGAGCAGTTCGCATAGATATATTGTATTTATATTTATTTTTCCCACAGATGATCGGTAGCTCTCTACTCTTTGTCCATGACCAGAAAAATGCCAATGTCTGGCTGATAGACTTTGCAAAGACATTGGAGCTACCCAAGAAAATGACCATCGACCATAATTCCTCCTGGGTCGTTGGTAACCATGAAGACGGCTACCTGATCGGTATAAACAACCTCATAGGAATATTCAGCGAAATGGCAGCTGCCCAGATGGCAACGACGACGCTAGTCGTGACGGCTCCTATGGACCAAGAACCCCAAACTAACAATTCACAGGATATTACATGACTTAAACTAGTGTGGAGCAATAGCAAATGTCATTCGAGCATTAATTAATAAAATGTTAAATATGCCAAAAAGAAACGTTCTCAGAAAACTAGCTTTAACGGAAAAAAAGAAAATCTAATATCTGCAGGAGAAAATGTACCTTTGTAAAAATATGTAAGACAACTTTTGCGAGGCCACTAAAAACGAAACTATTGTATATAAAATAAAAAGTTACATTTCTAAGGAAAATGCTGTACGCAAGGGCAGATATAGATCTGAGCTGAGTTCTCTACCTCTGTATAATAATGAAATATACATTTTGTTTTTATATAAAGGTGTATTTCTTACAAAACATTTTGTGAATAGTATTTTTTTTATATTGAATACACCATTCAAGTGATTTGTAATTTACATTTCATCCAGATTTTGTACGTATTTTGTATATACAAATTTGATCCCATATTTTCATTAATAGCAATATTATTCAGCTTTATTTTTGTTATTGTCTTTTTTTTTCATAGGTCTCTGTAATAGGACATCTGTTGTCTCCTTAATTTATTTAATTGTATATAAATTGTGTGATATTATTATTAATATTAATGTTAAATAGTACTGATTTTTTGTTCTTTACACTCTGAAAAGTATGTATTTAATATTATACAGCCTGGAAAATAAAATTCACTTCTAGAAAATCTTTTAATAGATTTTACTATCATTGGATTCATTATAAAATATTTTAATGTGGTGGAAAAAATGTAAAAATCACCAATTCAATATTTTAACTATCATTTTCGTAAATAAATTAGCAAAAAACCAAACTTTTGACTAATTTTCCTGTTGAAAATTTAAAAATAAAATGCCATTTTAGATTGAAATGGACCTTTTTTTTGTATTTGTTTGCAACTATACCTTTACGTATCCACCTTTTGTTGATAGATTTCAAAAAAATTGAAATTATTTTGCACAGGAATGAAAACTTCATTGGAAAATTCTGTACCACTCATAGGAAAAAAACTGGTTTTAAATGATTTTGCATTATTATTTAAATATGTTTATTGAAGTAATTAAAACAATGCAGATGTTATTTAGGTTGTTATATATCTTTTGAGAAAATTGTTCCAAGCATCGATTATTATTAAATTTAATAAATATAACTATATATCTACTTAGATGCCATACTTAACATTATTTATTTACAAAAAATATACATAAATAACTAACTTTCTAAATAAATAACGTGGAATGTCACAAATATTATTATCACTTTAAAAATGTCAACGCTAACTTTAAAACAAAACATTTATATACAGATTACATCAAATATGAATATAATTTTCAACAATTGTTAACCAATATCTTTGGACTTGACAGTCTATAGTATTATTTCATATACATATAAAAGTAAAATGGTACATTTTTGATGTTAAAATGCAGAATTATTTAGTATATTTATTGCCTGCTAATCGTTTCGGAAAAATTCTCTCCTCTTCTCTTAGGTCCTAGTAAATTTTCATTTCTTTGGGAGGCAACATTGTGAACACTGAAGCGATGATGTCCATCCGGGCTTGTTACAACAACAGTAGGAGGGATCGGAGGATTTAACGCTCTTGTAGGAGGTGTAAATCTACCACCAGCTTGAGAATTTCTGGGCAATTCTTTATTTATGTCACGAGACATTGATATCGCCCTGCGTCTGTGTGCCGCTTGCTCTGGCCTAGGAAGACCCTGGGAAAACCTCCTCTCCTTGTTGAGATTGCCAGTCGAAGCAGATGCTTCTCTTGTTCTTAGCAGTTCCTTGGGCAAAGGTTGAGGATTGAATAAATAACTAAGACTTGGATGGCGACTTCGGTTCCCTGTGGGGCTTGATCCTTGCTCTTCCTCTAGCTTCTTTAAAGTTGACATTACCCTTAGGAAATCAGCAATGCTAGTTTGTTCTAACACAGGGCTCATTGGAGTACTGTTCCCTGTGCCAGCAGATGGCAAAACATCAAGCAAACTTGGCCTTCTGTTATTCTGCGTGTAAAAGTTTACGTCATCATACACATATCTTGGTTCGTTCTCTTGCAAAGAAAAGCGATGAGTTGAATTTGTCCTTGAAAATGTATTTCCAGTCCTTCTCTCCTTTTTGGGTTTGTCCTTTGATAACTTTTTCTTCCTCTCACCTGAGAAGAAGTTCATTGCAGCAATTGACAAACGGCGGAAACCGTTCTCTTGTTTGCTTTCTTTCTGTTCTCCACTTTCCCAATCTCCTTCCTTTGATCTATAATTTCAATTGAAAAATTTAACTTGGAATTAATTAATTAATTCAAGAATGAATATGTTAAAATTACTAATTGATAACTTGTAACTAACATGAGAAGAACTTTAAATCGAAAATATTAAAATGTATACTGACTTCATATTTTTGAGCATTGTTCTTGTGTGTAAAGTATCAACGCCAGCCCAAGTTTTCTGGCGATCGTAGCCTAGAGTAGAATCAGGTAAGTACTGTACTTCCGATACAGCTCTGCTTCTTTTCGGTGTCCAACTGCTTGAACTGTTTTTAGTGTTGTACTGCTCGCTGTGGAGGATTTCGTCGTCTGTAAACAGGTGAATCCCTCCGTCCTACCAAAGTTTCATAAAAAAATATTAATAAAATGATTCATTAAAAATGGTTTATAAGTTTTCATTATTACTTCTCGCCAATAGTATGAAACCTATTTCCCCTTTTAAAAAATTGTGAAAACATTCACTTTTGTACATCAATTCAACTGGATTTAGACCGAAATTCATTTACTATGGTTTTCTATGAACGAACTAACACACACCGTTCCAAGAAAAGAAATAAAAGGACAAAAGGTGGCTTAGTTTATAAACTGGCGCCATATCAGGTTTAATTATGACCAATTGTAGGTGTCTTGCCAGGATTAACACTGATTATCATCTCTTATGTAACCGCTTCACACTCAAAGTAAATTAGCAAAGAGCAATTAAATGTTTTAGATAACTGCTCCATTTTTTGTTTATTTATATATTTTGAGATTATTACAATCTTGTCGTCTATGAACTTATCATGGCCTTCAGTATTTGCGTTTAACTATTTTTTTGTATTGAAAGCGCAGAACAAAATAACCATAAATTAATTTGTTTTTAAAATTTTACACAATTAGGATTTTATACAATAAAAGTGATAACAAAATTTGCTGAATTATAATGATTTTATAATTATTACAACAAAAAGTAAACTGAGGAATATTTAATGTTTGTACAAGTAACAGTTAAAGAAACAAAATGGAACAAAAAGACCATCAAAAATCAAAATTCAGCATGAAAAAAATCTTTACCATTAAATTTTTCGAACGTATTTAAATAAAATGATTTTGTACATTCATTTTATTGTGGAGTTGCTAGCTGAGAACAATACAATAGATTGATTTTTTTTAAAGTTGATAATAAATCTTTAGAAAATTTGCAATTCAGCATGCGACTGACCGATCGAATTTCTGACAACCGTTTAACAACTTAAAGATGTTATACAATGGTTTTAAATCTATTACACACTTACATTATCTGTTGGATCTTCATAAACTGAAAGTCTTCTCTGGTTCACAATGTTTGCCAGAAGTTCTTCCGTCTCATGATCGATGGCTGCTAGAGAAGGTCTAGGTTTATCTCTGAAAGTAGCTATTTTGTCAATGTCGCCTAGGGCTCCTTCCGACATAACCCGAGGGAGACTTTCCTCCACTTGGAAATTATTATCATGTTCTGAAAACGCCCTTCTTCTCCTAATGCCCCCTATCCTCTCATATGTGTCCTGCATTCGTTCTATTTCTGACTTTCGCCTAAGCTGTGGCCATTCTGTGAGATCCGGCATGGATACCGTAAGTCTCCTTTCATTCAAAAGCGGTTTCTTATCCTTGTAGATAGGTTTGACTTTATTAATGTAAGTCTCATTAAGAGCTCTTCTTAGGTAGTTTATATCTTCGATGAACTCATGCCAGATCTTATTATGTGTCTGCTTTAATGTATTGGCAAGTTTTCTCTCGATTCTGTTGAGCTTTTTTGATTTCATCGCTCTAGCAATAAAGCCAAGAATCATGACAAGATACCCCAGGCCAAACATGATCCATATCAGAAGGAATATTTTGTAAGCTGTGTCCCCTGGAGAATCGTCTGTCGACTGACCTGAAATAAAAAAGTCACGTCAGTTGAGTTGAATAAATATTCTCTAAATTCTAAACCTTACCAGCAACTAAATCTCCAAAACCAATTGTGGTCAATGTGACAAATGCATAATAAATACTTTCGCAGAAGGTCCAATTTTCAAAATATTGGAATAGAAATGTTGGGGCAATTATAAAAATTACCATTCCTGGTATAAGATATATAAGAATATCAAGCAATAGATTTATTTTTGAAACGTAAACATGGTTTTTATATCGATGATGTGCACGTAGAAACTGAAATGAAACAAATTAGGTTAAAAATTCAATCAATTGTAATATTTTTGAAATTTTCCAAAAAATGTAAATATTTATGCAAAAAATTAAGCAAGGAGGCAAAATATTAGATTAAAAATTCAATCAATTGTAATATTTTCGAAAATTTTCAAAACAAAATGTAAATATAGACAAAAAATTAAGCAAGGAGGGGAAAATATTGACAACTTACAACAGAGCCAAAAAATTCACCCATCTGTGCCAGGACAATCCCATTAAATGGGATGCCAAATAAAGCATAAAAAATCATAATGATCCTTCCCATATCTGTTGATGGTTTCAAATTCCCATAACCTAAAAATATTAAAATAAATCAAATTTTGAACAATATTCAAAGGATATCAAGCAACAAACAAATGAATACCTTGTTATTGCACCTATTGCAGCACAAATAAACAAAATAAAATTATGCTTAATAGAAAAAAATTAGTGCATTTAAGACTTACCAATTGTGCTGAGTGTTGTTAAAGCAAAAAAGAAAGCATTGTAAAATGTCCATGTGTATGGCTCGGGTTCGACTTCAGTTGAGTTTGTTTCAACTTCAAGTATTTTGGCAAAATTATCTTTGCAATAGACGGAAAGTTTCATCGCCAGATCATTCACAGTCACATCGTTATTGATTGACATGTACTGCTTTGTCAGTAATTCTGAAAAAGAAATGTTAATCAGATTTGAACATTCAATATCTTACATCTTAATTAAAATCATTCTATTTAACAAAACTACGAAATAGTAATTAAGATAAAAAAGTCAATGGGACGAGCAGGATTCGAACTCACGATCTTTGGCTTGATACACCGCTGCTCTACCATTTGAGCCATCGTGACCTCGATCCACTCGGACACCAACCTCCCATCTCAACCACACCTTTTGAATTTTCCCTCCTTTTTGCCATTTTTATCTCAACTGAAAACCTTAATTAATTGTAAGATATTAATTGGTCAAGCAGACCACGAAACTAGTGAATTTAATAAGTTTAAAATAAAGTATACTTCACTAAAGCTCTCCGTGGTCTTTTCATTTGTCGCCGAGAATCAAATTGATTACACGACATTTGAAAAATGGCAAAGAGGAGGGAAAATTCAAAAGGTGTGATTGAGATGGGAGGTTGGTGTCCGAGTGGATCGAGGTCACAATGGCTCAAGTGGTAGAGCAGTGGCGTATCAAGCCGAAGATCGTGGGTTCGAATCCGCTCGTGCCATTGACTTTTTGATCTCAACTAAAAACCTTAATTAATTGTAAGATATTAATTGGTCAAGTGGACCACGAAACTAGTGAACTACAAAATAGTATTCAACTAAAACATAGGTAAAACATTGAGTATGTACATTAATTTAAAAATAAAATAAATGCCAAACAGGTTTTGTAGTTTCCTTATATTTATTTCAGTTTTTGTTTTTACTAGTGGTAAAACAAGTTTTTAAAATATTTTGCCAGTTTAAAGATTGAAATAGGCAAAAAAATCTTATGTACAACATTTTCACACAGTCATTGGTGACATTTGAAAAATTAACACAATAATCTGGATCTTCCCCGCCAAACTTATTTTAGAAAACAGAAGTTATTTACTAAGCTAAAATCAAAGGTTAAAATGGACTATCTGGTATATTAAAAAAACCTATTAACAATTGGAGCATTTCAAACTGAATATTAATTACAATTAGACAAATAAATATGTCCTAAGATCATTTCTACACAACAATAGTAATATGCAAGCCATTTTAGAATCTATAATTTATTGATCTACTTGCAGTGAAGAGAAGAATATAATTGTATGGTTTAGAAAAACATCATATTCCACAAATCAAACATTTTTACATAGTATAATTTTTCAACTATTTAGCTTTCCTTTTCCCACTTATCCCTGTCTATATAATCCTGAAAGGATAATCTGGCTGAACCATTACCAATGTTTTTTTCCCATCGTCGGCTCTTTCCACCTCAAAACCTCAAAGAAACCGACTCCTTATACAAAAATGGCTTTCTGTACCGACTTCCTTATCCACTCCTTCAAAATTCAACGTATATAAACATAAAACTTCAATATCTCATTGGCACTCAACATGACACACAAGAATGGCACAATTACACAGAAGACAAACACTTTAAGTGAGTAAAGATGTTTTGATTAAACATAAAAAAATATATTTTGCATTGTATAAATTCACTTTTTTTCCACATCCTACATGTATTTGTTAAATTTAAACAATGTTTGTAAATCCCAAGCTCTGAAGATGATCTCTATACAGATTGAAACGGCACAATAAAGAAAATATTTTTCTGAAACCTACATCACACCAGACTACGCCTCACAATTTCCGAATAATCATAATTTCAGAATATTAAATGTACTCATGTTTTGAAATTTCTTGAGCTGAGGCACAATATCAATTATTTAGTCATGAAATGCTACCTGTTAAAAATTTAAAGTCTCTAAGAATGACCTCAGTCCACTCAAATTGAATTTGGGAAAAATCAAATTCAAAAGAATACCAACTTGTTACAATTTTGGCTTCAAAGGAACTTTTTAAATCAATATTTGTTCAAAAAATTATGTTTATTTGAATGCAGAACATTTAAAATAAGTTTTGATGTAATTTAAAAGAAGCATTAAAAAAATTATCTCAAAAATCGAAAAAGGTCATCAACAGGGCAAACATATTTAAAGATGTTTACAAACTGACATCTTTAAATTTTTATCAAAGGATTTAAATTTCTTAGCAAATAGATTGAGAAGTAGTTACAGCCCTTGGCAATGTTGGGACTGAGTCTTTCTTCAAAGAAATAGCAAAGACCATACTGAGATCCAATTATTGTTTGTGGTCAAATACATTCAATATCCAACAAATTCAATCATTTTAATCTAAACTTCTCTCCCATACTTTCAATGCTCCGTTCTATTTCACCAAAGAAATGATCTATAAAGATTTTAAAATCCTATTTGTGAAAGCTCTTATCTGAACTCTCTTCCTCAATTTTCACTCTAAACTATCCCTCCACCCTATCTCACTAGCACTAACTCTTTCCTCAACCCTTACAATCCTCCATGCCGTTTAAAATGATGATGGCCTTGTGACCTTTTATTACCCCCAATTAAAAAAAGAGATTTCCAGCACAAGCTGGTTTCTCTCCTCACCGTGAAGCATCCTGGCCTGACAGATCTGTCAGATTTGTACATAACTACACTATTTGCTCAATGTATATTATTGTACAGATAACAATAAATAAATACTGTTAAAAAAGTTTGTAAAAAAATTTTTTTTAAACAATTTTGCCATTGTTTTCAATTTGACAATTAGCAGCTACCCATGTTTAGTTTTAATAATAGATTAAAATAACTAATTTATAACTTTATGATTACAAAAATTTAATCCCTGAGAAATATCGAACTCTCTGGGGGAGTGAATATGTCCAGACCTTCTATTATGATGATGTGAATGTATTGTATGTTTTATATCTATTTTGTAGTTGATAACCTGAGGTACAAATTAAGAGGCTAATATTTACCTAGTTTTCATATAAAAGCAGGGACAGTAACAGACCAAGACACCCAAATAGCTGCAGGTTAAAAAATATGCATGAAAAACCAGGTGAAGAAATAAAAACACACAGAAGTCAGGTAGATTCAGCTAGTTTGTTGGCCCCTAAACTTCCCAAATTAATACTGTCATTTCAAAAATCTAAAGAAATATCAATATGGGCTGAGATTATTCAATACAAATTTAAATTATTTTTAAACTATTTAAAACTATTTTTAATTTTAAAATTCTATCATTTAATGCAATATAACTAACAAAAAATTTATTCCAAAGCCTGCACAGTGTCCCTTATGCGGAAAAAGATTGCTCAATGTGTCCCACATAATAGAGGAATGTCATGCCTTGTCTCCATACAGGGAGCGTGTAGGCAAGCCGCCGGATTTAAGAATGGCTTACAGTAGCGAGTTTCAGAATCCCCTGTTCTGCTCCTTAGGGGAATTTCAAAACATGTATTATCTATGAGTGAATGTATTTATTAGAGTGAATGGGGAAGGGATGAAGGTGAAATAGCATCCCTATCGCCCCTCAATCTGTGTACGTGACTTGGGACGATGACAGAATATTTATAAAAGTATCCCATCGATCCCAATTAGATTAGTTAGTTATTGTATGCAGGTCGATGGAGGAATAGTAGTCCATCTACTAAATAAAATGAATGCAATATATATAGGTATATTTATTTGTATGAATGCTATTGAATGTGTATTGTTATATTTCGCATGCGCTCGGGGGAAAAATTATTGTTAAAATTTTATTATTATTAATTATTTAAATATTATTATCTTGAAGAATAGAAGAAGAATGAAGAATCTCTTATAACCGCGACACGCCCTTCCTAATCGAGACTACATGTTGTTTTATCTTTGTTGTCATTTTACACGTGCATATCTGATAACGTCGATTGTTTTGATATTTTGAACTTTTTGAAGTGTTGACATTTATTTCTGTACAGTGATGGTGGTGAGTATGTGCTCGATTTTCCATCTTTATAAAAAAAATATATATATCTTTAGGCCAGACAATTGAATTAATTCAAACTTGGAGTTGATTACAGAAAATAGCGCTGAAAGTTTCTTTCCTGGCAGAAAACATTAGCCGGCTGTCAGTCTGCGGACCAGAGTTCGACTGGAATCTCAAGGTAAACAAAGAATTATAAAAATTGAAATTCAAATGTGATAAACTTTTCTGTTTGTTTTTGTCCAGCTCAAGTGCACACAGTGCAATGAAACAGACGAGAACTGGCACTCAATCAACGAAAATGAACAGATCGAAGGAAAGAAAGGCCATTCAACATGCAATTTTCAGATGAAGTGCAAATTCTGCTCAAACTTTGCCACCTTGGGTACAAATGTTTTTATATTTATTTATTATCTAGAATTAGTTTTGTACTCCTTCGTACAATCATCATTATTGTGTGTATTGTTTCTCAAAAAATGAGTTGATGAGGGGAAAAATCTTTCAAAATAAATAGCAAAATTAGTTAGTGGAAGTGTTAATGAAGACTAAACAATTAATTAAAATAAAATAATGAAAGAACGAGTTCCGTACAAAATAAACCAAGAGTCTTCTGGTCAAATATACTAGAAAGGCACTACAAGTGAGCAATTTGAAAAACTGCCGATGAAAATCCAACAAGTGCAAAATTATTTATTTGCTAAATTATTTTTTTATGGGTCAAAAACCCATTTCTTTAAAAAAAATATTTAAAAAAATAAAAACAATGCTTATAACTAATTCAACATGTATAAAGAATAGAACACTATACTATACATCAACAAAAAACAAAAAAGACGATAAAATCCTTATAAATAAAAAACATAAAGATTTAATTAACACCCTGTCTATATAATTACAACTAGGAATTATATATATATATATATATATAAAGTAGCTGACGTTTTAATGAGGAAACAGAAGTATTGACTAAATCAACAGTATTGCATATCCATTAAGCTTAGTGACCTGACTGACCAAATTACTTCCTTCAATTAATTATTCTCTGTATGTAAGGTCTTGGTTGAAATGAAAAAGTTAGTGTCATAAGCGGGTTTCGAACTCACAACCTTCAGCTCAATCTGCCGTTGCTCTAGCAACTTGGCTTTCTCCTAGGATTATTAAAAGATGTTTTTACATTGATTAAAGTGCATGTTGGTCGATCTCCTCATTACTTTTCCCTTCTAGAATAGAAGTAAAAAATTGTTTTCTACAATCTAGGTTGATCTAAATGTACTACCCACGTGACAAAATTTATTCATTGTCTCTCAGAGAAATTGTAATTGTCACACAATCCAATTAATAATTGCCCCTTGGCAGATTTTTTTTAAAACGAGGGTATTTCAACTATGCAAATTTTAGCGTTTTGCCCACTTGGCTCCTTTTTAAGCTATTTTGGTTATTATTCAAAAGGTTGAAAAATCCCAAGTTGTCCATGGTTGAAATATTTTATTTATTTTGTGTATTACATGGACACTTTGTGCTTACGGCCCATCATCAGAACCTAAACATGGAAAACCTGATGGTACAATTGCCATCCAAAGATACATACATAAGTAATTTACAAAAAATAATCCTTCCAAAAAATATTTTTTGTAAATTACTTATATGTAAACTAAAAACTAAATTTTTGAATAAGTGTTGTGTAGATTGTCTATTAGCCATTTTTTCCACCAAGGATTTGATAAGCTCAGGGAATATGTTGGAGGTAGCTTGGGTAGTTTCCAAGTTAGAAGATGAAATTGCAGTATCATCAGTTTATGTGTGATGATAGTATTAGGGTGTATAATGATATAACAGATGGGACCAAATACCTAATACCTGTGGGGCACTGCTTAACAGGCTTGAACATTTATTATTTGTTAAAACTGGAACTGGTAATGTTTAATCTACATTTAATGCACTTTCTTTAATGTAGTTTGCCTGTGGTTTGTTATGTTAGTTAAATTTTGAATTTTCAAAGGTCCCAACTGCTGAGATTTTTTTGCTTAAAAAACTGTTCTCATACCTTCAGTATATTTTCCCAAGAAGTAATTATGGATTTTACCTTGAAATCTCGGTAGACACTCAGACTCCACCTCACCTATTTTTTTAAAGTAATAAATTATCCCACTGTTTCTCCATTGTCACAGCTTAGGGGATCATCAGTTGGGATTGCTATTGGTTCAATCATTCATGGCCAGAACTGTATAAAAGACTTACATCAAATACCAAATCTAACTTCTGGGATGTCTACTTGGTGAAGTCTTCATTACATTTTCTGCTATACAAATGCTATACAAATATTTGAACCATGAAGATTCTTTCTTTAATTTTGACCCTAGAAGTGAAACCTGATTATCTCTTTTGAAAATTCGTTGGTTCTTCAAAATAAGGAGTCACCTACTCCTTCTTGGTAAAAGGTAGCCCTGTTTTAAGAATAGAGGTAGAAATTAGTAACTCTCTGGCAAATGCGATTCACTTCTTAGCTGAATGTTTCTTACTAACTTTATAAGAAGTTGCTTAATATCAAGAACCTAAGCAATGGTAAATAATTGCCAAAAAAGAAAATACTTTAAATATTAAATTCACTAGTTTCGTGGTCCGCTTGACCAATTAATATCTTACAATTAATTAAGGTTTTCAGTTGAGATAAAAAAGTCAATGGCACGAACGGGATTCGAACCCACGATCTTCGGCTAGATACGCCGCTCTCTACCACTTGAGCTCCAATTATATGACATTTGAAAAATGGCAAAAAGGAGGGAAAATTCAAAAGGTGTGGTTGAGATGGGAAGTTGGTGTCCGAGTGGATCGAGGTCACGATAGCTCAAGTGGTAGAGCAGCGGCGCATCAAGCGAAGATCGTGGGTTCGAATCCTGCTCGTGTCATTGACTTTTTTTATCTCAACTGAAAACCTTAATTAATTGTACTTTAAATATTGTAAATTTTGATAGGAATGCATGGTTATACAGAAAGTATTTAACAAATCAGTTCAATTTTTGGTTGTTTTTGTATTGAACCCCTGACTTTTACTTTTGCTTTATTTCTTTTTCCCACTCCTAACCTTCAGATTGAAATTTTCAATTATGTTTAAAGGAAAGTAAAGTGAAGTAATTTCTGTCAAACAGGAGGGTTTAACTTCCAACTTGTTGGTTCCAAGTTAGGGGTTGGACAACCGAAATATCTGAAGCTTTTATTTATTTATTTTTTAAATTAAGTATCCGTAAGTTCATCGCAAACATTGTTTTATTGTGAGGCTGTGCCATTAAAATAATTATGTTTATCCTCCCGTAGAACCCTGAGGAAGGCTTAATAAAAGGCCTAAAGCTTGGCAAAAAAGGTACGACTACTTCATTTAGGACCACATACCCGATCCCAATCGTCAGTTAATCTTCACTGGTCAATAATTTTTCTGTGTTAATTTTATGTACTTATTAAATCTTTTTTGCCATTCCTTAAAAAAAATTTGTTCATTTTGTCATCATTTCAGATAAATGAGATAAATGTAATGACTAGTAGACCAAACATTATTATTACACTTTTGAGGTATTTGCACAGTTTTAAACTAGAGGAAAGTCATTGTTTTCTTTCTTTTGTAGATGTTATCAAAGACTCAATCAAACCAATAGATATTGGTGAGAGTGGGAGTGTCAAGGATGTAACCTTGGTAGCGTTCGACTGCAGGGGCGTTGAGCCTGTAGATTTTGATCCGCTGGTAGATTTTGTACATTTTATATCATGAACTTATTTTTTATTTATGTATTTAATTCTTTTTAATTTGCAGAACGGTTGGATAGGAAAGAATGACGAATCAAATTCAGTCTTTAATGATATCGATTTCACAGAAGAATCAAATGCCTGGGTTGGGTTCGATGAAAAGACAAACAATCCAGTCAGCATAGATGAATTTTCGTCTAAATTTGTGAGATTATGAAGTTCCTATTTCGTCTGTTTAATTTCACTGATTTATACTTTTTCTTTCTTTTGTGTCTAGTTAAACACTATTTGATTAACTATAATTTTTTTCAGTTCAGTATAGTTTCATTCATGATACACAATATAAGGAAATGGAAAAAATATTCATTTACATTTATACACTTTCTGGTAATAAACTGCATATATTATTTTAATGTGATTGATTTTATTTTATTTTCGTAAGAAAATAAAAACTAATTATTTTTATTAGCTATTCAAAAATTTTAAATTTTAAGCTAAATTATTGTAGAATATTTTACCCTGGCTTTTAAAATCCAGAATTCATTGATTTTTATAATCCATTGGGATTTTTAAAAACTAATTATTCACCTCTACCAACATATAAACCAAAATGTCAATGACAGTATCATGCCATTTTTTTCTATCATATATATTCAATTTTTTATACACAATTTTTCAAAATGAAGAAAAAAAATGAATGTAAATTATGGTAGATTTAAAATATATATTCCTTTTCTATTAGAAAATTATTTATTCCATCCACTTGGAATCATCTCCTTTTTTTAAAAAAAGGATCGAACTCCACACTCACTCCATCATTCATAATTTCTATGGAATCATCTCTGTAAGGGAAAGTTCCCGAATGCAGGGCCACAGAATTCGAACCCAACATACTTACAAACGGGCTTTTTTTCACAAACGCCAACACTCTGGGGGTTGATATGACCATCGCTATTGCAAACCCTTGTAAAAATTAAAAAAAAATTAATTAATTTAAAATACATAATTAGGGTGTGTTTATTCACTATTTCCCAGCAGTTTTTTAAATTTATTTTTATTTTATTTTATTTTATTTATTTATTTTTTTTTTTAGTTCTTTGCAACTTTCTTCAAACCACATATTTACAGTGTATTAAAGATCTGAGTGAATATTTTTGTAGCATATTTAAATCTTGCACTGTATACTTTATAGGATTTAATAGATTCCGATGTAGAGCTCCAGAATTTGTGTCATGAGAGTATAACAAATTTGATATCAGGTATTTATAGCCTCTCACAAGTTCCTTATAATAATAAAAACCTTAATTAATTAAGGTGTTTAGTTGAGATAAAAAAGTCAATGGCACGAGCGGGATTCGAACCCACGATCTTCAGCTAGATACGCCTCTGCTCTACCACTTGAGCTATCGTGACCTCAATCCTCTCGGACACCACCTTCCTATCTCAACCCCACCTTTTGAGTTTTCCCTCCTTTTATTAGTATTATAAATATATCACATTATTATAAATAATGTGGGAAACATTCAAATTTTTGTTTTGCTTAGCATGATGCAGGGTATTTATATTGCCATCTAAACCTGTTTTCATTGTACAAGGCATGTTTTATGATCAAACAAATGTGATGAATTAACAATTTTTAAATCTAGCAATTTGGTTGACAAAATCCGGTCAAAAACACTCATACCAAAACTAGCTCTGTATGTTAAGTAGGGAGGTAAATCAGTTATACCGTTGCAATATGAAATATTACACTCCATCATTTTCATTAACAATTTACCTTTTTTATTGAAGAATGCTATTGGATGAAAGCTGATGTGGGACAAGCAGTTTTCATGTTTTTATAGATTAAACAAAATTTAGATTAAAAATAATATCTTGTCAACTTTCTATGTTGCTTCAAGTCTAAACAATGTTTTTACCAATGCTTTCTCTGAAAAGAAGATTTATAAAAAATGTTTTTTGGTTGAAGAATAAAATGTCTTATCTAATTGCTAATAAATTGCTGAGAATTGAGATTGTTTACAATTAAATGCATTGCAAGAGTTTTTTCCTGCTATGTTCGGTTTTTCCATGAAAAAATAAGGTCAACTTTATTAGTCAACAAATTCAAGTAATACGCCCATTACAATACTTGTAAGATTGGGCTAACCCACATAATTCGCAGATTAATTGAAAACCTCTTGTCTCCTCTTGAATACGGCATCTCAGAGTCCACTGTGTCCATTCAATTAGTGTAAATATTGTTCTTCTTATCTTTACAATTTGTATCTCAATAGAACATTTATTGCAATTCCATAATTTTATGCATTTTTTAAATTTATTTTCTTAAGTACCAAGTAGTAAAAAAAAAGGTGAAATTTAATGTTCATAATGAGTATAGCAGTATAATAAGTTTAATTGGGAGTTTAGTAAACAAATATGTTTGTTTAAAACAAAAACAAACAAAAATTGTTTGACAATATTCAGATCACAGTAATTATGATGAGAAAATGGTGTGGGTCTCATAGACAAACGAATTTGTAGAAATCTTTGAAAAGTTGTATTAACCCGAGTGAGGATTAGTGAAGTAGTGTGTCCTTACACATTTAAAATTAAATACAAGTTGCACTTGGTTTATCATAAGTAATTGACTTGTAAAATTATTTTGATGAATTAATTTATTGTAATTGAGATTTGATTTCTTTCTTAAATTAGAAAATTCTAGTCTGGAGAAAATCTATTGATAATTGGTTTGTTATGAATGATTTAATCTTAATTGTTAGTCGCGATAATACATTCAGTGGCCCTACACCATCAGATTTCTACAAATTCGTTTACAACAGTGCAAATTAAAATTTACAAAACTTTCAGGACTCTAATTTAGCACAAAGTAATAATATACTTAATGATTTATGTTAATGTGTTTAAAATTTCAACAACGTTAGCTTGAACATACACAATTTATTTATTAACCGACTTAAGAAAGTTTAAAAAATATATTTATTTGAATAAATACGTTTTAAGGCATACCTCTGAGGTACTTCTGGTCAGCTTCAGCCTGGCCTCTCTTCTCCTCTTCAAGATCCCTCTCTATCTTGTAGAATATGCTCGCACCGAGGAAAAGGTAAGCGATGAACAGGAGGAACAAAACTAACCATTCTGTCTTTGACATTTTCCGCCACACCCCGATTTCAACGCGATCTCAAATATTGTCAAGTGTCAAAATAAGGGCAAGAATTTTCTTTTTCCCCGTCACTGCTGATCTCCATCGTTCTTCATTCGTGCTTAGCCTCCTGTCGGTGCCCAACCGAGAAGACCAAGAACGACGCCCTGTTAAAAACAAAATGGCCAATGTTTAAATACTGTACAAAATCGTTGGAGTTAATTTAAACAAACTGAAAATAAGTAATTTCATAAAAAGAAAATTTTCAACGAGGATAAGCTTATTAAATTTTATTGCTTTTAATTGTTAATATTTTCTTCTTTAATAATTTATTTTCTGCTTTTATGCAAAGTGCTTAAGCTCTCAATACAATCTAACTATAAATAGTCAAATTATTAATAATGTGCAAATAATAATGTATTTTTATCGCATGTCTAATAACCACAAAGGTTTGTGAGATATTGTGTGATATATTAAACATTTAATTCGGTCATTTTCAGTAATTCTGATTCAGATATGTTTCAGCATCTCTAATCTGTTTGTGTTATATTTTGTCAATCGTTTCCTTTCCTTTAACCAGGAGGGATGATTAGAGATGACCAAGCTATAAACTATAGTTTTGACCTCTGATTGATAAACTCTATCCATCTTATAGTCAATCTTTGTGCTCTCATTTTAAAATGATTTACAATAATACATCTAACTTAAAGTAATAAAAATTAAAGCCTTAAAAATAATGCATTCAAAAATAACGATAAAGTAAAACTGTAACAGAAAGATTTATTTACGTTCTTTGTTCTTGATTAGAAAGTCATAAAAGTTAATATTACCAAATTACTAATACATATAAAAAAATAAATTATTAGAAAGATTTTTTAAAATATTTTATCAAAAGTATATTTTTATTGTGCAACCAAGGACCTCTTTCCCTCGGTCAATATTGACTCACTCTGCTCCATATTTCTTGAATTGTATTTTTCCTTATTTGTTTTTCTAAAATATACCAATCTTTTGAAGTTAGGAACTGTTAGCAACAGTAAACCACTTGATAATACTTTTAACATATTTTGATCTGTACTGATTATCTTGGTCTATCTTGCTGGATTGATCTGTGATTACTTTGGCAGTAGTATGATCAGTAAGCATCAAAACGTAAGTCCATTAGCCTGCATGACTCAGGAGAAAATTTCAAGATATTATTACTGATTAAAATTGCATGATCATTTTTGGGATTTGAACCCAGAACCGCAAGTGTGGTAAACCCAAGTTGAACACCCTAACCACTCAGCCACCATAGTGGTTTTAGTTATTTTATTTTATGGTTTAAACTGTATCTGCTTTTCCCTGTTTTTCTTTATTAACAATGTTTACACAAACACCCTTGCCTACAATGACTGGTCGTAAACTTTTCTTAAAATATTTTTTACTCCCCTAGATGAGTTCTTGTTTAATTTTCTAATTCCTCTTTCTTTTTTAGCTTTAGGACTCCCAAGTCTAGTTAAAATAACAAAATTTTCTTTCAAAATTTCTTCAAATTTGTCTTGGTCATAATTAGTTTCAAGTATATAGTATATATATAAAAGTGATTTTATTGTGCCAAATATTTTTTTTAAATATTATTAAATAATAATTAACTTTATTAAAATTAAATTAAATAATAATTCAATTATTAACTGGTTCTACTAATCGTCAGCTGAAGATGGTTGAAAATTTTCAGAAATTAGGTTCTTATGCTGCCCACTACTGATATTTAAAAAAGTGTCTTTGTTCATTTTTCCTTGCTAATTAAAAACTAACTTTTAAGCTGTAGCTGAGTTTTAATGATTGTCTTCTTGTATGAAATATTTATTTGTTGATGTTGGATTATTTGGCTGGGCCCCACCATTCAACTCCTTAAGTTCAAATAGGTCTGATGAGTGTTTTGTAATCATTTAGTTTTTTATGTTTGTTTCGATGGTGGTATTGTCTTATTATTAATATGCACTGGTAGGTAGATTTGACATTTAAGCCAAAAGGTAAGGCTACAAGTTGGCTTTTTTTGTTCATTCAACCTGATCCACCAACGATTGCACCAGTAGATATGAGGTTCAAATATTGGATTGCTTCTGTGGCTAGGATAGGATAGGAATGTGTTGATAAGTTTACAGTGTCATCCGCATAGTTGTGTTTGTGTTTGGATATGTGCGTATATCAGCAGTGCAGATGGCGTAGAAGATTGGGCCTAGGATACTTCCTTGTGGAACACCAGCTTTCATTGGCATGATGGGTGAAATATAGGCCGAAGATAAATAAAACTCAATTTACCTACTAAAACTAACTAACCTGGGAACGCAGTGGTGGGATGGGGTTGGGTTCTGGATCGTTGGCGGGTCATGGGTGGTGACAGGGTAGCCTGGGCATGTTTTGTCCAGATCTACAGATAAGATTTGGACTTTTCCATTGGATATTCATATCCATATAAATGGTTTTTGTCCTCATCTTCCCAATGAGATTCGCTTATTGTCCCTGAAAAGAAAATATTTCCACCCCGAAGGTTGTTAGCCTGTTTTTCACCTGCAGCCAGCGATCCAACCTTGGTCCCACAACCAACAAATTTTCAACAGGAGGAATGGTTAATGTTCTCTGTAATGTACAAAAAGTCCTATTCTAGATAAAATATATTTACTTAAAAATTTATGTAAATTACTGAATTTTCTCTGCTTCTAGTGCTCATTGAGAAGCCCTCTGGGAATATTTAATTATTATTGCAAATAGGTCAATAAAAGAAGTGTTAAAGTTCATTAAAAATTAATTCTTTTACTTTGATAAATTAAACGTATTTAATTAATAATAATGTATACTGCTATTATTTTCAAATCGCCAACTTCTGGAAGAAATACAGTAATAAAAAGCACGTTTGAATGACCCTTATCTTGTCAAATGACATTTTCTTAAAGTTGATTTTTTTACATGTTTTCATCGCGATAACGTGTGGTTAATTGCATTGGCCTATATATAAGAAAAATCGAAAAAAAATACGTTTTCGTACAATCAATTTCATTCACGTCCTACTTTTGCAAATGGTCGAACTGTTTCGATAAACACTTTTTACTTTTGAAACAACATAGAAAGTGTAATAATTTTCAAAGCGACGATCTCCGGTAAACAACATTGATAATGAGACTTTCAACCTGAGCACTGACATATATTGCAAAGCGATAAAGTTAAAATAAACGGAACAGTCGAGATAAAAATTCTGGACACAACTTAAAGGCAATTGCCTTATTTTCTATACACCAGTAGAAACCAGGTTTTTTCCTGTAAACTGATCAAAAATGAATAAGGATATTTGTATTTTATTCTTATTCTTTTAATTTTAATTAAATTAACCGATATATTCTATTTAGTTGGATTAAACATAGAAAATACAAACCAAAAACAAACAAACTTTAATCCTCATTTTTAATAGCGCATTTACTAGAATAGTAAATATGAATAGTACTCATTTTGTAAATAAACATCTTTTTTCCATTTTAGTTCAGTTGTTTTCTCTTTATCATGGAAGGACATCATCTTGAACGAGAAGTTCGCAAAATTATTGCGAGAATGAGTCATCGAAGTCACCGGGCAAGTGGATATCGCAGAGGTCGTTGACGTGTCGTTTCTCATATGGTCGCCCGGGCTTTAGCCAGGATTCCGAGAGACTGGAAGAGCCAATAGAAGGCCTGGTAGTTGAACTCAGCGCATTATCATGCTAAGGGAGGACAGAAATATCGTCAATGCAGCAAGACGGAACCCTTTCCAAAGTGCACGCCAGATCCTAAATAAAGGGCAAGATGTTTTGGCATGGTCTCAATTTGGCTTCATAATGTATGCCACTTTGAGACGACGTGCAGCAACAGCCCGCCACCAGCAGCTCAGTAGAATATGATGCAGCGAGCGCCTAGAAGCGAAGAACAATTGGAATACTGTTATGTTTACTGATGAGTCGCGTTTCTGTCTGTATAGTGATAGCAGGCGCCGAAGATTCTACCGAGAACAGGGGATGCGTACAATGCCTCAGTTTGTGTTTCCTTTAGTGCAGTTTGGAGGAGACGGTGTAACGGTCTGGGCTGGGATTTACACTAGAGGACGAACTGGAGTCCATCCGTTATATCCAAGAAATTATCGCGGAATACATCCCTCAAACTAAAGATCTCGTTGGCAGGGATAACAATTCTGGACCTCACAGAGGCAGAGTTGTCCATCAGTGTTTAGGAAACCTGCGAATTTCCCATCTGCCCATTGTCTCCAGACCTCAATCCTATTGAGCACATGTGAGACGCGTTGCAGAGGCTTTTCGATCACCATCCGCGGCCAGTTGACCTGCAACAACTGAGTGCAATGTTGCAACATCTATAAAATGAAATTCCTTATGAAATTAGTGACACCCTTATGCCTAACAGGTGCACAGAGGTTTTAGCTAAAGAGGACATTACGGTATTATTTAAAAACATTATTGTGCCCAACAAACAAAATTATGGAATTGAAACCTTTTATTTTTGAAAATCCCTTAATTAAATTTGCCTTTAGTAAAGAACAATTATGTCTATTAAATTTTAATGCAATTTATAATAACAATAAAAGTGCTAAGAAAAGTAAATAGTACAAAATTGGCAATATCCCTATTCATTTTTGAGCAGTTTATTTCTTACAAGAAGAAAATTATTAAAACAGCTGCAGCTTAAAAGTTAGTTGTTAATTAGCAAGGAAAAATGAACAAAGATACTTTTTATAGTAGTTGACTACGTCAACGTAGTATCCTTCTATCAATTTTGCTTACTATCAAACGGGTACCATTACAAAAACCGTCCCCTATAAATAAATTTCTCAACCCGAAGCTGTCGTTGATTGTAAATATTCAATGGGAAACTAAACTTATGTTTTCATTGTCGGCTTTGCACAAGCTAGAGACTCAGCATGATCTATGGAAACACGCTTAACTATTTCCACTGGTAATCGTTTCGCAATAAGATGATTTTTTCACTTCATCATTTCTAGCTGCTAATGCGGCTATATTACTCATTTCTTCCTCAGATAAATCTAATCGATAAAACTCTTCAATTAAAAGTTTTTTATGATATTATTTCCGATATCTAATAACCAATCTGAGAATTCAATGGAATCTCCATTTGCACGCATATTCTTGACAATTGAGCTTGACTAAAAGCTATTCCATAACAAACTATTTTTTAAGCATGTTTTATTAATTTGTTTCCTGATCTTTTTTTTTTACGACTGGTAAAACTTATCGAAAGTCACCACCCAGTATAAAAATTTTCCCAGCAAATGCGTCATGCATCGTTATTAAAAACATCTCTAAATGTCCCTACCCATAGTGGCTAATGAGTATTTGGGGAATCGTGGACGCTTCACCTCAGATGAAAATATCTGTTTCTTGGCCTTTTTCATTTTACGTGTCCAGTTCAGTGTGACTCGGCCTTCTACTAAATTTAACAGTAACCCGAATGTTTTATGTCAGGACAGGAGTTCATATGGGAGAAGTGCCGCTATTCCTGCCTAAGCAATGGTTGCAACCTTTTTTGCCCAACTGCCTGCAGAAATGTATCAGACAGTTGTATCAAAATGTCGTACCGCTCACGCCAGGTCCGTCAAAAAACATATGTTGAAAGTTTCTGTGTATGAGATCTGAATTCATTTTTGCATACATTGATTCATAAATGACTTTATGATCTTAACCCTGTAAATCTTCGTCGATTTCAAGATTTCCTGAATTGAAATTGCCGTCGGCACTTACTTCAATTTAAGTCGGGGTTAGCCCTGAGAAGGACTGATTAAAACAACTTAAGTTTAACCATGAAAAGAATTAATTGGAATTTGATTTGGACATTCTCTCGAAAAACAGTGAGAGATGGGAATAAGATAGAAGAGATCTTACGATAAAAACAACTTACGTAACTTTGCGAATTGTAATCCGTTTTTAGCGATTTTTTATTATTCGATTGGTCTTAAATAGCTGTTTAAATTTTCCCTTTCCACCACCCCGCCGTATCTGAGGAAGACCCCATACCGGCGGACAGACGCTTTAATTTAATCGAATTTATAAATCTAAGGGACTTCAAATATCTCTTCAGGCGAGACCGCTGGTCGGTTTTCAAGGGAACAATATTTTCATTTTAAAACCTAAAACAAAAGGTCTTCCCTTGCTGGTTTCTCCTTGCACACTTATACTTTCGTGATTTTCTTTTCTATATATTTATATTATATAAAATTTTCTAACTAAGAAGAGGAAAACAGCCCGGAACCCTAAACCTAAACCTATGTTTAATTATGCAATAAATAAATAACGGTAATAAAACGGTAAATGGGGACTTGTTCATTTAAGCGTAGTTGAGGCAAAGTCTTCCAGTGCTGCAAATGATTTGGTATCACAGACTAATTTATGGAGATTAGGCGGCCATTCTGCTAAGGGTGATGGTCATTCGCAAACGTTCTCTTTCTACATTGAATTTGGTACAGCTGAAGAGTTTATTTTCGGCGTCTTCTTCAGTGCTGCAAACGGAGCATAAAGGGCTGTCTTTTTTCTTAAATGTATGGAGATAGCTTTCCGGAGTTTTCATGTGATATTATTTGGGTGGTCCAGTAGTCGGGGTTTAGCCATTTTGCTTTTTGTCTCCTTTCAACTCTGGGGAAAAATTGTGTTGCTGTTTGTCGATCTCTCTTGCCTTGATGCCCTTGTCATCTTTCCCAGGTACTCTTTCGTCTCCTTTCCCATGGTGCTTCGGAACAAATCTATTTCTCCTTGGCTTGCTCCTATGTAAATTGTCTCAGTTTTCCTTGGTGGATGACCACCCTTTCTTTATGGACAGGATCTATTGGCGGTTGGCAGTTACTTGTATGGCGTACGTTGACGTCGTCCTATACGCTTTTGTGATTCTTATAAGAGCTATTCGTTGATTTTGCTCTATTATAGCTTTCCTTTTGCTCGGTAGTCGCTTGGCCGGCTGAACCATAACTTGCTATTGGGAGGAAGACACTTTTATAGATTGTGGAGTGCGCTTTTGTGCTAAGTCCATATTCCACTTTCGCTATTCCGCTCAATCTATTGTACTCACTTCTTGTCGTTTCCCTTATTTTAAAAGCCTGGTGTATCGGGTTCAGGTTATCACCTAATATTACTCCCAAGTACTTGACTTGATAGCTTGGCTTTACTCGTTTATCCTCTAGGAGGGGTTTACCCATTTTCCCTTTGAGCATTAGGGTTTGGCATTTATCTGGGGCTAACTTAAGCTTCGCAAGCTCACACCATTTGACGATTAACTCTCTTAATACTATGTTAAAAAAAGATACAGCCCTCGCTGAAAATCTTTCGAAATTTTAATCCAAACAAAAACATAAAAAAGCTAATTTCCTGATTAGAATAAGTACTGACATCAAATGTTTATAAATTTCAAATTAGACTTGTTTTGTTCCTCTTTCCAGCGATGTAATATGACATGGTTTTCTAAAGTTTAAATTGAGAAATAGATAAGTGAAAAAATGTACTAAAACGTTGCATTTATCCTCCTCCTATCTTTTTCTTTTTCTACAACGTTAAAATCGTATCCTTCTCTTTCTTTCTCTCACACGTCAGCCAAAACCTTTTTAATATTTTAAAGAGAAAGCAACGAGTTTGAAATGTCTAGTGTATTTCGAGACCAGCGAGACAGGAAAGTCAAGCGGGTCCAGACTCTTCTTTTCTTTTCAACTTCTTTTCTTCTTTCTTTTTTTCGTTCTTTTTCAACTTTTCGACCTTAAGACTTTTAGAAGTTTTTCACTAGATGTTGGCCCATTAAAATTTTTCTCCAATAGGCCTAGTGTATTCTCTTTTTCATAACGAATTGCTTTCTTAAACAAAACATAACTTTCGACAAAAAGCTATTTTAAATACCATATAAATACATTTAGATCTATCGTTTATTCTGGCACGTTTGTCTTCGTATTTAAATTGACTTAAATAACTGGCAAAAAAATGTTTTATTAAGCACACAAATAAAGCTTCCAAGCTGTCGGAAAATGTGATACATTATTCACAACTTGGGGACCGCGGTAGCCAGTGGTTAGCATGAGAGACTCTCACGCCGCGGTCGTGGGTTCGATTCCCACCGTCGCCTCTGGCCCTTTTTTCCCGATAACCCCCAATTTGAACAACATATATAAGAATTCGTCATGGCTAATATGCAAAAGATCATAAGGCCAATAATTAAAAAAAAAAATTCACAACTTAAAACATATATAATTGACCAGAGATATAACTTTTCAGAATCATATTACCAGATATTTATATAAATAAAACCGTACATTTCAATAAAATTGACAAATAATAAAAACATGTCAAAACTTGAATTTTTGTTTATTATTTGAAGGTCGTGCCTCCCAACACGACAGACAAATGACACATCTACACGAAAAACAAACACTGAGCCCTGAAGATGATGATCTCAATAAAGCTCGAAACGTTGGCACGATAAAGAAAATGTTTTTCTAAGCCTACGTCACACCAGACCGCATCTCACGACCTCCAAATAATCATCACGTAACGGTCACTAAACACCACACATTTAATTTTTGGGCTATTAAATGTCGTCAGTGTTTTTTTATTTAAAAAATGACGAATTATTTGACCTTTT